AAGTCATTTGTTAGAATGTCACTCAGCTGATTTCTGAGCCCAACCTCCTGGCCATCTCACTATATCAAATAGCAGACCTTCATTAAAGAGGGGATAGAAAGACCCAAACAGCTCACAGAGCTGAAAGCTGCCTTGCGCTGAGAGCCCCAAGACAGGGTTCCACAGGTCTCAGGAGGAGTGTCTTGTGGGAGAAGAACAGGGATTGCAGAAAGTGAAGACCCCACCTCTGGCTTCTGAAAGACAGTCTGAAACCACATGCTTGGCTTGAGAAGGGACACACACCCTGAATCGACATTGGACTGAACAGCTGGGCCGGTAGGACTGGGCTGGGAATGTAAATGAGTCAAACAGCCAGGTATAAGAAGTGCCATAGCTTAACTCAACAATCAGTGGCAGCTACATCCAGCCTTAGAGTTAGAGAGGCGGTAGGGAGTGATGGGGACTGGGGCAAACTGACAAGCAGTTGACCCGTTAACAGCTAAAACTGATAGTTGCATGAAGAACTATGGCTTCACTGTTGCCAGTCTTCGAACTTTCCAAGAGAATCTGGAAGTCTGGAGTTTTATGACAAATCTGGTTTCTAAATGTTGGCAACTTATTCAGAATTTTAAAACACTGTGTGTTTGCCAACACCATGCAAACCAAATACACCAAACATCTGTGCCCTGGGCAGCGTCTTGGAATCTCTGAACTAGACACACACCAGCAGACCCTTGCACATAAACAGAAAACTCTAGCCCCTGTAGTGCTTACTTAGTTCAGGGCATGGTTCTGGGCAGTCTTTAAAGGGAGTCTAATTAAGACATTGGTGCAGCAATTAAAAGATGTTTGGGCAAAGGTAAGGCAGTTCTGCCTAGAGGGAAGAGGTCACGAAGCCCATCAGGGAGTGATGTTACCTTTTGGACATGCCATGGGTGATTTCCTCTAGCTCCCATGGAAATAGGAAATGTGGGGCCCAGGTGAAAGATAAGGATCAGAAGGTACAGATTGGGGGTCTAGAGCATGGGGGGGATGGCTTTCAGCAGTGAATGTGGGGGAAGAAGGGAGGGTATGGTTCTGAGCAGGTGTCCCTACTTGAGGATGAAGAGCTAGTAAATGGGGCGAGGAGAGTGCACAGAGGAGCAGAGGTCACAGATGGGGAAAGGGGAAGTTACTCAGGTCCCAGCTGAAGACACATTTGCTGGGTTTTTTTGAGAGCTGTTCAGTAAAACAACAGGAACAAAAACTAAGTTGCAAAGGATGGGGATGGGACGTTTAGATAAAGGGTAAGTTAGGGGAAGAGGGGGTGGTGGGGGCAAGAATGGGGCTGCATAGCCTTTACTTTTTCACATTTTAATTGTGGTAAATACACATAACGTCAAATTTGCCGTCTTAACCATTTTTTTAAAAAGATTTTATTTATTTACTTGACAGACAGAGATCACAAGTAGGCAGAGAGGCAGGCAGAGAGAGAGAAAGGAGGAAGCAGGCTCCCCGCTGAGCAGACAGCCGGATGCGGGGCTAGATCCCAGGACCCTGGATCATGACCTGAGCCGAAGGCAGAGGGTTTAACCCACTGAGTCACCCAGGCTCCCTAACCATTTTTTAAAAAGAATTTATTTATTTGTCAGAGAGAGAGAGCGCGCACAAGCGGAGGGAGGGGCAGAGGGAGAGGGAGAAGCAGGCTCCCCGCTGAGTAAGGAGCCCGAGGTAGGACTCCATCCCAGGACCCTGGGATCATGACCTGGGCTGAAGGCAGACACTTAACCCACTGAGCCACCCTGGTGCCCCCCATCTTAACCACTTTAAAGTATACAGTTCAAACACACACACACAAACAGTGTGCATGTGCACACGAGCAGGGAGAGGAACAGAGGGAGAGGGGGAAGCAGTCTCCCCACTGAGCAGGGAGCCCGATGCTGTGGGGCTCCATCCCAGGACCCCTGGATCACGACCCAACCAGAGCCCAAGGCAGATGCTTAACTGACTGAGCCACCCAGGCACTCGCCCCCCCCCCCCAACTTGCTTCTTAAGGCAACATGAAGCTTATGTGCAGTTAATCTCTGTTGCATTTGATTTTGTCTCCAGAAGACTAGGATAGAAAAGAAGACTGTGTCGTTTTGTTGAAGATTTCCCCCTGTGCCTAAGATCATCGCATGGCACGAGTGCTTGATCAATCCATCTGGAGAACTGCTCCTCACAACGTGGTGTACCTAGCCCTCAGTCTTTTCACTCCACACCTAGATACACTCTGCAGTCAGCAGCAGCTAGTGGCAGCTTGCCTTGTCACTGATTGTCATTGATTGTCCTCCTACAGCACTTTCAGCCACAGTGGGGATCAGCAGCGCCTAATCCGGAATACACAGGGAGTTGCTCGTGGTGCTTTGTAAAAACCCACATGCCCAGGCCCTTTCCTGAAAATAACCAAATCAGAATCCCTGGGGCCAGGGCCCCGGAATGAGCATTCTTGGTTTTATTTTGTTTTTAAGGTGTTTTAAAATAGAATTGGACTGGTAACATTCTGAGCTATTCTCAACATATCGTTATAAAGGAAATTTCAATTTTCTCTTTCATGGATATGGCAGTGGGTTAGTTTTGTAAATTCGTTCTTGACAGATTTGTAAGTGATCAGGTAAGAATTTGAGTCCATGAAACAGTATTTCCAAAGTTCTGAAAACATGTTTCATTATATACCATATATATATACACACATAGAAATGATCCATCCATTAAAGAAATATTTATTTATTTATTTAGATTTTGTTTATTTCTTTGACAGAGAGAGAGAAAACACAAGCAGGGGGAGTGGCAGGCAGAGGGAGAGGGAGAAGCAGAACCCCCACTGAGCAGGGAGCCCAACTCGGGGCTCCATCCCAGGACCCTGGGATCATGCCGTGAGCCGAAGGCAGATGCTTAACTGACTGAGCCACCCAGGCGCCCCTAAACAAATACTTACTAAGTACCTGCTTATGTGCTAGACACCAATTGAAGGGACAGGTCCTTATCTTGTCCATTATCTTGTAGAGCTTATGTTCTGTCTTCTTTCTACTTGGATTTCATAATCTAGAGTTTAATTAACAGTCACATGGTTTACTTACTGTTCCAAGTGTTGTTTTTTTTTTTTTTT